TTATATTATTATAAATTTTATTACTAAAGAATTGAAAAAAAGCCATGAAGGAATTTATTACACATTGCTAAATAAAGAGGAAAATTAAGGGACAATTTGAACACAATCTCAAAGTTTCTACACAGAGAAGATCAATTGCACGATTTTATTTTATTTAGTAAATATGGCATAAGCCATACATTGAACCATACATTTACACTGAAACTAGAAGTAACTTTTATCAGGAAAGGTCCTCCCCAGAAACAAATTAAGTTGTAGCAGATTCCTAATTGTTTTCAATCATTTAGAAAAAACATCCAATCTTGATTTTAAAAATTTGAGCACACAGATTATGGTTGAAAAAAATACTGTGACTGGTGGTACAGGTCACACAATAGCCTCTTCTGCCAATCAAATCTATCCATCTACTAATTTCACAGAACATAAAACAAACTGGTGATAGCAGCATTGGTCAGAAAGCCAGCTCTTGGGCTACATCGTTTACAGATTTTCTTGTCAGTAGCCTTTCTCACCAAAAGAGAAGAATCAAAACAATTTAGTGAACTTGTTTTGTGTGTACGTTTATTTATTTTTGTAGTATTCGCTATAGTCTCCTGGGAAAACAGATCACATGTACGCTTGAAAAACAAGTCCAAAGTTTTCACACCTGGCCAGAAGAGTTAGCTCTCAGGGAAGTGCCATAACTCCCATTTAAATCCTCTTGTAAGCCAGAACAGTGTAAACCATAACAATGTAAGCCTAAAATATGAGGCATTTAACTACTGAGCACTTCTCAGCCTAGACTGAGAGGAACAGAGAGAGCATTGGGGCAGTTTAACTAGAGATGAAGGGAGAAGGAAAATCTTTTCAAAGCTCTGTGTCTCACAAGGGAAAGAAAGATGGAGAGAAGAAAGGCATCATTAAAGGCAGGGTGCAGGATTTTAAAAAAAAAAAAAAAAGATCACTTGCAGGAACTTTCCTTTCAACTACATCAAACACTTCCACTACTTTTGAGGTCCAAAGCCCATTTACCTTTTCCTTTCCAATATGAAAGCCTTCTCCAACCACCTCCCACCACCCACTGCAAGTTACGGGATTTGCTGCTATCACAGCCTTCACTCCACGTGTGCAATGGCCTCTTCCCCCGCGTTGTGCCCATCTTTTCTACTTAAAGAGTGCTTCCACTCTTCCACAGCCTATTATACAGAGCCTAGCAGAAGATGAATTTACTCCTTAGGTTTGTTTTTGTATAGATAGATAGATAGATAGATAGATAGATAGATAGATAGATAAAATTCTGCCATGCCTAGGAGCTTTTCTAACTTGTGTTCACCTACACCTGTCCTCAAGAAATCCTAAGTCTAGTGAGGATTCCTGGAGTGCAGCACACACGGCTCGTGCTGCCTCCCATCCTCAAAATGGAGGAGACACCAGTACAGTTAGCTCTCTACCCAGTGATTAACAGCTGGGAAATACTTATTTACAGCTGATTTATTCTGCTCCAGTCTCACAGAATTCCAGCATGAGAATGGGCCAGGATTTAGATCTGGCCCCTGATTTGACAATATTTTTCAGTTTGACAACTATAGGTAGGAGCTATGCTGTGAGAAAGCAGAATTAAGTCTTGACAGGTAGTGGAATAAAGATTATTACGTTTAATTGTAATCAAGCCTTTTTTGTTACATGGGATGGCTTGTCCAAGAGATGAGTCAGAGCAGTGTGGGGAGGGATGCTGCTGTTAGAAGACTTCAGTTTTGCTGGCTTCACAAGCACAAGGACACATTTTTAAGGCAGTGTTCTGGGATCCACATCCAAGCAAAACCACTCTGGTTTCTGCCACTTGTGCTTTCTTTATCCTTCCACAACCCTTTATCCCAAGCATCTCAGCTTATCCAAGAGAACCACAAAATCGTTCCACATCTCTTTCCCCTTCCATCCCTCTCTCTCTCATGGCTATATCCTTTATTCAACTGTCCGTTTTCAGCAACGCCATCTATCTACTTCCAGTCTTATCACATGAAGGGACCACATGAGGCTCCATCTTCTTTCAAAAATCTTTTCTCACTATGGTACTACTCTGCAACTCCAGCTTGTTCCCTTATGAGTATAGGACAAGGATCCTTCTCAAAATTGCCTGGGTAACGTAAAGACAACTTCCCTGACCCTGTCCCAACGACTTTGGCAAAGCTGGAAAACAACTCTTACAAGGAAAAAAAAAATCCTTCCATCCACATAGCCCCCAAACTTAATCTCACCAGAATTTTCAAGAAAAAACATTTTAAAAATCAGTTTCATAAACAAATCTAGTATGGAAAATTTAGGCTTGAATAGATTTTCAAAATTCAAAGTTTGGAAACTAAAACACTATCAGATTTAGTAGTGGTAAAGCACCTTAATTACATATGACACTACCAACCCTAACAGAAAGTTCAGAAACAAACAGGTACACAAACAATAAAAGATACATACCTTGCTTATAAAATGCCTGTATTTTATTCAAACATACTGTAGTTTTAGGTCTTGTCTGTTGGAAAAACTGTACATGATAAATTAATCTGATTTATTATAAAATCTGTTGATATTTTATAAGAAGCGTAACATTTTCCCTCCCAGATACAAAGAAAAAAAAAATTTCCACGGCATCTTTATGAGAGACTCAGTCTACCATCATTTAATTAAGTGCCGGAATTAGCACAAAATTACAAATCAGGACTCCTACTCCCATCAAGAGTCCCATTAAGAGACAGAAAAGGTGTTAGACACCTAACTCTCTTGGATTTGGAAATCATAAACCCTGCCCTGATCCTCTTCACTTTGTACAATAAAAGTGATAGGAAATACAACACAGTAAGATGATAGAAACCCTGAAGGGAAATAATTTAGAATAGACTAAAGGAATTATTTTAATATGATAGATAATTAGATTGCAATATACCAAGAGTAGTTTGTTAAAGTTTCTTGACTTAAAGCAGGCACTGCTGACTGCTGCACTGAACTTTATTAAAAGCCCCTGCATTTCAGTAGACGCAATGTGCGAGACCAATGACATGGGTAACAACATTACTATTAATTCCATTAATAACCACATTACTATGCATGTCATCAGTCCCAAATTCACACACACGTACACATCATATGTTCAAAGCCCATTAAACGTCAGGAATCTCATTTACAGTCTTCCTAGAAACGAATATGCTCTTGTAGAAATGCCAGTGTGTTGAATCCTACCACAGAGAAGAGAACCGTATGCAGTGAAGGTAGAAATGCTCCTTTCAGAAGAACATCTCCCAATCCTGCGTCGTGTGCTAACCTTGTACTTGTTTATCCTTACTGCAGTGAAAGCTCTGAATGCACAAACTGCACATGGACTTTAAATGAACACTCAGGAGCAAATTCTGCCCAGAGAGGCAAGACCTTAACGCTTGTGGCAACATGATCAATCTTTTAATTTGCTGCAGCCAGAACGGAAACTGAGTCCAAGCAAAAGGTCAGAACAGGCATTTTATATTCTCTGTTAAAAGAGGGGAGGAAAAAAATGTCTTTGAGGAGTAAAGTAAGTAGCTAATGAGACACAGCACTGACAGCTGGAATTTAATAAGTATCCACTTCACAAGGAAAATTGCTCTTAGTAATTAAATACAGGTATCATACAAAGCTTCTGCTTAGAGCCAGACTTCAAAATCCTTCTGTCAGTAGGACTGACAGGGTTTTACATCCCAGGCAATATAAGGGTGACTTTGCCTGGGAGGCTAGTCCTAAACGAAGAGGGTTAATTGCATAAAATTCACAGTCATGTCAGTGGTAAATAATTCCAAAGGGACTTGTTCAGATAGTAGTCTGGCATTACTGAAAAACAGACTGCAACTAAAAAGACCTGTTATAAGGCCCACCAAAACCTGAGACACATAAAAAGTTTATTAGTCATTGCAGAACTAAAATGCAAACAAGATCTTTTTAGAGGGATCCAAAATTCTTTATGCTCCAGGTCTGTAGGGCCATAAAACTCTACCTGAGAAAAATTTAAACAATCTTCTAATTAATCACAGAATTTTATAACCTCTCACAAGCTCTAAGTAAAACATTAACAAGGTAGGGAGAAGGAAGTCCTCTTTGTACTAGGCATGATTCCTAACCCCGCTGACATACCCCACTAGAGGAACCAGCTTAGAATTTAACATCAAACTGAGATTATAATGGATACTAGCACACCGAGATGGTGTTTCACTTATGGGACTTCATTCCCATAATTGAAGGCATAAGTCTAAATTACTGGGAGCATCGGGGAGAGCAGAGTGGAATCGTTTTTCTGTAATTTATGACACCACCATCAAAGTACGACCACATAACATACCTTAACATAATAAATTTCATACCCCTAAAAAGCCATCTTGATCCTCACTCACTTAGCAGTCCAACAGAACACTGTTGGTATCACCAAAAGAAAGCAGTTTAAGTATCTAGATGGTGGAGCGTTTTTACCAGCTACGTCCAACAGAGTTGCATTTACTCAGGTATGCACAACACAATCACACAGCTGTATTTACCTCAGTGTAAAACAGCACAGGCTCTGCAAAACGTGTTTTAACCTACCTCATAGTACATAGGCAGATCCTTAACCTTTTTTCCCTTTTGATTCCCAGATTCTCTGATCTGCGAGGAAACAAAGCATTCTACTGTGAGAAGATTTTAAGTTTGCACAAATTATTTTACTCGTTATTCCCTTTTGAAAACACTACACTCTCACTCCAAAATAGCGAGGAATCATCTTAGGGTACCCTTGTACCTTAGGGAGGGAACTTTTGTGATCAGCATCTTGAAGAAAAGTCTGTAGCAAAACCTCACTATTCACAGGGAGCAGAGCAGCTTATACAGTAAGCTTTTCTTTTTCCATTTTTAACTCCTATGAATTAGTGTAATTTTTAAAACTTCCACAGAGTAATTCAATTGAACACAAAACTTACAGCTACCACAGACCAAAGAAGTTCGTATCTAGAAGTGAGATCTAGGGTTTGGTTTGTTGTTAAAAGTTCCATTCTGGGAATACCTGTCTGAAAACGTCTTCCCGCGTTACCACGCTGAAGAGCTTCCGCTGCGGCACCCGCACAGCAAGAGACAGGGCCTTGGTGTGGATTTCATCCTCAGGTTTGGTCCCCACAACGAAAGCGATGCTAGGCTTCCAGTCATCCTGCGTTCCAAAATAAAATATTTAAGGTATTAAAACACAAGCAAAAAAAGGCGCTTCTCTGCAGTTTTAAGGAATAAGCCCGTAGAGGTGGTTATTCCCTTTAAGACATATTCAACATCACTGTATTAATCACACTGAAATAAACTGTATACAACTCGAAAAAGCACATACTATTTTGTCGCAATTCTTTCTGCCATCAGGTGGCAGCATTATGCTATGGAAAACACAAATGCCTACTAACAACCCCTACAAACCTCCCCCAGGCAAACGCATTAGCACCACACACAGATAAAGTAACTTTTAAATGTCATTTGCAGGTTTGACAGTTAAGTAAGCAAACAAGAAGTGAATTTTGAATATATGTGTTATTGTCACTGAATACATCTATTATTGTGATTATTTGCTGTAGAAAAAATAAACGAATTTCAGCTCCCTCATCCCGGGAATTAGATAATGCCCAGATACTATTTTCTGAAAATGGTAGCATTATTTGTATGATGTTTTATAAGGGTATTTTTATGCATATCATGGTTCTTACATGGTTTCAATAAGTATTCTGGACTAAGAAAAATTATTTATCAATGGCAAGTTATATTTCACTACAATATTGACAAATGAAAAACACTAGTAGTTTTCAAACACTTGCAGTAAAATACACACATTTTTATGGGAAAAAATCTGATTTCAGCATTAAAGAAATGCAGAACCAGAGAAGACTGGAACACGTTATATAGTGATATGCATCCACAAAACCCTCAAAACAATGTCATCTAAGCAACTTTTACTCGTTACTCTTCTTTTCCATTTGTTCTGCTTTAACCAGAATCCCTTTCACAAAGCGAGTGGCTCTCTCCAGCACACCTACATCTCACCCCAGAGTATTCGCTATCAGCATCAGTGGCACCTGAACCATACGTGCTTCCAATGGTTGTGCTGTACACTCCGCAGGGATCACCAAATTTTTTTTTGATTGCACATCTGCATGTGTAAACTGCAAGGATATCAATAAAGCTGAATAAAGGTAAATATTGAAAGAGCTTCAGTAAGATCAAGGTGGTCCCAAGACATTGTCACGCTAACCAGGACCGGGCCAAGCAGAGTCACGTACCGGACCAGTGTGCACCATAGCAGGGAAAGATTTTAAAGACAAATTTAAGAGAGGGTGGTAACTTTAGGATTTTGATGGAAATATTATCATACGTGTATATTATGTACAAAGTGCCTGTGGAAAAGAGGAACAAAACCTGAGTGGACGGTAAAGTGAGGGAAAGGACGGTTCCAAAAAAAAGTTAGATGTAAACGGTAAAAGGACAAGTTTCTTTTTCCAGTTTTACTGTACCCTTCTTCATTTGTTCCTTCCCTTAGTTGAAAAAAAAGCCTACCTAAACGTTTGCAATTTGAGCAACTGATGACTTGGGATGGGATAAAGCAAGAGCTGACGTAAGTTTCAAACTAGTAAATGCTTGCATGGAGGGAAACAGTTTGTCATACTCTTCAGGTAACAAAGGATAACATCACATGAATATGGCGCAATGTGATGATACATACATGCCCCATGTTTTAAACCACAGAATATTCAGAGAAATAAAAAAAGATGGAAAGATCACCTGGGTCACTAAGTGCAGTCTTCTGAAACTGCAAGTAGCTACAGAGCAGACACCTAATCCAGAAGGGCCCCTAGAGTTCCACACATCATAAACTTCCTTGACCTTTTATAGCAGCACAAAACAAACCTTAAGTTTTTAAAATTACAAAATGCAGGAGAGTGCAAGCATATCACTGATGCTCTAGGAGCGTGCAAACACGACGGAATTTACGAGCGGAGAGTGCCCAGTTGCGCTGGGGCAGCGGGCACCGCTCGCTGGAGAAGCGGCAGCAGCAATGGCCCGTGTGGGGACTGCACCAAGCACACGCAATTTCTTTTTCCCCTTTCTAGCTGGCGGCGAGGATGGAGGACAATACCTCCTCCTGCCTAAAGTAGCCAAGATAACTACAGGTGCACAGCGCTATGAAAGAGCTAGGTATTCCAGTATTATCGTCAAAACACGTGCGCAGGAGTTGCAGTTAATCTGAATTCAAGTTAGAATTGTCATTGTATAGCTGCCAAGAGCTGGACGCAAAAACTTTACCATTCTTTGGACAGAGAGCATTTAGATGTCCATACTTGTGTGCCAACGTGTCATTTCCTAGGCTTTCAGAATTGAGACCGAAACGCCTTCATGTGGCAGTACCCTGGTGTTCCCAGGGCTCGCCAGCAGAGACGGGGCCTTTAGAACAACCATCCGCCTACAACGTGAGCTAAAGGAGCGACTGATACCGCTACGCTGTCCTCTTCAGTGAGGACCACCAAAAGAGGGGAACGAGGCTCAGTCAGTCTCACAGACAGATGGTGACAGCACAAGAAGAGCAAGACTGAGGAATGTCAGGTTCTACCCTAGATGCTAGGGGAAGCATGGTCCAGCAGAAATACAGAGCCTGCTCTCACAACTTCTGCAGTTCTTCAGATATGCAAAGAAATCTCCATCAGAGTCCTCAAACCTCTGCCTTATGCCTTCTTCAGTTCCTCCTTAAAACATGCCGGTGTCTTGGTGCCCACAAATTACACCTGCTTAGCACTGATTAACATCATCCTGCAACAACAACGTCTGTGAAACCTGTCTTCCTTACAGTCCTGTCTCTCATTGATCTTTCCACCCCTTGGTCACAACTGTCCCTAGCTCACTTCTCCTTCCATTTCTACTCGCTGTTCCTCACCCAACTTCCACCACTTCTCCTAATGCTTCCCACATCCATTACCTGCTCCCCTAGCTCTCGTCCTCAGTCTCCTTGTCCAGCTAGTCCCTAGTTTCATTATCTGATCCCACTTCCAGCTTTCTCCAGCCTCAGATTCCTTCTCCAAATCCTTATTCTCTAGCCCCTCTAATACTTCCCAGGCACTTTCAGAGTTACGCTTGAGCAACGAGACTTTCTCCTTCCCGGTACTTGTGTGTTCCCTGGGAAGGCACTAAAAGCAACGGAGAGAGAATTTTCCCGATTTCCACTGCGGTGCTCACCTTCACAGCAGCCTGTAACAAAGCACCAAAGCAAAACATCAGGGTAAGTCCTGCTGAAAAATCAATTTTTCAAAAAACTTAGGATTTACCCAAACACAAACATTCTCAGAAAGAGGTATGCCCTCAGCAAAAGGCATACCCTTGGCATCACCGTGGTGCATCTCCTCCCCTCCTAAATTCTCTGCTTCAAAGAAACAAGCTGCTAAAGTTTCTCCACAGAACAGCTATGCGAATACTCATAGCATAGGCAAAACACTGGCTAATATATTAAAAATAAAATACATGGAATGAGCCTCTACAAGATAGCTGGTAGGGAAAATTATAACCTCACCTAATTTAATTCTACAGAAGTATATGCAACTCGATGTAAGGCCTTTTGTGTAAAAATTTAAACAGTATTAGAGATAGCCCATACCTCCCTAGCTGCAAAATGAAGAAAAAAATGTTCCTTTTGTAAAAAAGGTGCAATACCTGGGAATTGGAGCTAGTTAAATACCAGAAATGGCTACAAACACTTCAACAGTGAATAATGATCCAGAATTCTCAGAGTCACTAATAGCATATCAACTATTTCCAGACTGACCAGTTTTGAAGCCCTCAAAGATCATTTTTCAGAAAAGCTAAACTTTGAGAACAGCAACTGAAGTCAATAATGACCGCGAATGCGTAGCGTTAATACATAGTTTAAAGGTGTTTAATTGACTATGCTCTTTTCTGACCTTAAAAATCTATTACTTTTGCAATATTGCCCTTATATTATCAATACTGTAACAGTATCCTTAATGTTCAAGGCACTGAAAGGAAGAGAAGAAACAGACCCTGCTTCTACAGCTCACCACCTAAAATCACAACATAAAAATGAGAAGGAAAAGTAGTAAAATGTATATGGTTACTTTAAAAACATTTTCTCCCTCAATATACAACTGCTCCTCCACTGAGTTTAATTCTTTCAAATGTTATTGTAGAAGTGAGACCCGAGAAAGGATCTGAAAGAAGATAGATTAGTGACCCTACGGCTACCTCAAATGAGGTTCCCAGCTTAAAGAACAGGATAGAGAAAGCCATAAAAATAACTACTGGAGAAGCAAGGAAACAGTCTAGGAAGGCTGCCGTTGAGAGTATAACGCCAGCACGACGTACTGTGAACGAAGACGACCAAAATGCGGAGAGTAGGTAGCCCACAGAACCAACAACACTGACTGAAACACGAATGAAAAAACCCAAAGCTGGAAATGTGGGATTGGCAACTGAATACTCCTTAAACGATCTGAAACAAGCTCCAGTTAAGGGGAGGCCAGACCACTCTCCCTGGAAAACCTCCAGTGACAACCATTGTCACAGACGACACTGTCCCCACCCCCTTCCAAAACTCTCGGCCATGTCAAGAGTTGACATGCACCAACGTCTCTCTCAGTGTTAGAAATAACCATCTATGGGGGAAGCTTGTACATCCCTCAGGTGAAGGGGCTCCAGTCCTAGCAAAGTCTACCTAACTCTGAAAGCTCCGTCTAAGCAGCTAGGAGTTTTCCAAAATCCTTGTTTTCACAAAAGACAGAAGGTATCTCATCATCTCCTGATTTTGTTCTCAAGCCTCCACTGTGTCACCCTGTAATGTGATTTTTTTTCCCAACTGTTAAAAACCAGTACAATATAGCCTACTTCTTTGTCACAGTGCTATTGGAACAGCGTAGGTATGTTAAAAAAAATCTCTAACTTCAATTCACATTGAGGAAAAAAGCAGATGTAGCTCACAAAATTTTGTTTCCTTTTTAAACGTGTCTTGTTTTCCCTGCTTCATTTCCTAGACAGAAAAGGGCAGCTGTTCTAGAGCAGACATTTGAAAAAGTCAGCTATGTTGTTTATTTTTGCAGTACCAGTTTCTAGATCTCTTTGGCCAGGAAAAGCATCAAGCAGCCACCTCACCCCACCCCCTTTCCAGGCAATCTG